CTCTTGCGCCCCAGCATTTTTTATCTGTATCAGCCACTCACAATTTTTAGAGGAAGCAGAACGGGCATCATTGTTAACAGTTTTGGACATTGCTAACAGTACTTTTCTACTCCATTAATTAGCGCACATGAACAATAGGATACGATTATATAATATTATAACGAAGACTCTAGAAAAGCTATATATAGCTTGATTTTGAAGTAGCTGCAATTTTGGAACAAGTATTTTAGCTTTACTTGGAGGTGGAGCAAATTTTGCCGTCTAAAGCTGATCAATGGTCGTTTCGAAAGATAAATGCATATATTGTCGACCTCTAACATCCAAAAACATAACTACAAAGCTGCCGTTGGTTTTACCTTTGGCAAACGTCTCTCCTATTCACTGCCGACTTCCTTCTATCAACTCTAACTCGCATGAAAAACTCACTCGCAGTCATTTGAAGAATTTAATGGCTCATTTCTTTTTGCCATGTAATAAGTTTCACGAATAAGAAGAAATTATATATTATTCTTTAGGTAATTATCAATACTTTCTTCATTATTTTTTTTTTTCACTTTCACTATCTTCATCGAATATATCTTACTCGTCATGACATAGGCTTTTATATATACATATATAGCTACTTTCCGAATTCTATAAAATTTTCTCACCATTAAAGCCTACATAGCAGTATAGCACGGAAGCCACATATGGTGTCGGGAAATAATCAAGGCACCCAATTATACCTATAAATATTTTAAGAGCTTCAGCAGTGATTTTTTTATTAATTCTTTTTCCAACACACTTTTATGAATAAACGTTTTTTAAACTTAAAATCTGCATATGAGAACCACCCTATGATATTTTTTTAATTCACTTAATTATTTATTTAGAAGAATGGAGTAGATAAAATACAAACTCATGACCATTTCTAAGAAATATTTTAATTCTAGAATTTAAATAATTAATTGAGAATTCAATAATTATTTTATATAAATCTTATATCATGTTTGTCCCTTAATAACTACATTGACTATGCGCACTGTTGCTTTAGGTTCCGTTTAAGAACTTTTTAGACAAAAATTTCGTTGGACCATTTCTTATTTCTTCCTTACTCATTTGCAGTTATGTAAAAATATAAACAAAAATGCCAATGTTTCGTTGCTCATTTGTTGCTACGGAAAAATTAAAAAGCAAAAAGATCAATTCCAAGGGTGTGTTTTAGAAATAATACCATGTGAAATGCCGTAATTTAGGAGAGATAAAGATTGGATTGTTCCATGCTCAAAGTGCAAGAAAATTAAAGAACACATATATTTAGAACAAACTTTTGTTTCTCCAGCCTTTAGCGTGTGACAGGAATAGAAGTCGGGCTCTACCAGGCTGCAACATATGTTTTCATTCGTTTTCCTTTTGTGCTAAATAAGCTTGGACAGAATTTATTTATTTATTTAAAAAAAAAAAAGCCTGGAAAGAAATTCCTTTGTCGAGAGACTGGGATTGGATTTAAAGACAGGTTCCACCCTTTTCCTGTTCACATCTCCATTCTGTTAAAGGGTTTAAAATCTGGCAGCTTAAAAGAGTGACTTATTATAGATCATTAGAAAATAGATAATATAAAATCATATATGAATATTCATTGTGTTCTCATTGAATGTCACTGCTCAACAAGGTCCAAGCTAGCATAACAAACCATTAAGAAATCAAGAGTTATTTT